CACACACACACACACACACCATGCATCACATCCAATTTAAGGTCGCCAACACTCTCCCTTGATTTTCCATATCTAGGTCACAGAGCTTACTTGACCTAAAATTTGACTTCCACTCATTTAACTGCGGTAAACATTCCATTACGGGTGCATACATTTTCTGAATGACTGACAGATGTGGTCCTCTGTTACAGATCCATCCACCATGCGTCTCTGCTGACATTTCTCGTCCTGTCAGTGTGACGTTGATAGCAGCCTGGCCCTGAGGTCGTCCCTGACACCCCCTCTGCTCCTCCGTACCTGCCCACTGGTTCTTAGACACTTAAGAAGCAGGTGGAGGAGCTCCTGGAGAATCCTCGCCACGCAGCCAGAGGCTTGTTCAAATATTTACCCACGGAAAACATTTCCTCCGAGGTCTTAACCTTCACGCTGCCATTAACGGATTTGTTTTACTAATTCCTATGAATGTTTGCTTTCACAGCCACTTAAACGAAGTGTCTTAAAAATGCAGCGTGCATTTCCATTTGCCTTATCCTGACAAATTAATTAGTGCGTGAAATAATGCTGTGAGGAAACCCGCCCTTGCCAGGCCGGGAAACTGTCGCGTTTCAGTTCATTAAGGGAAAGCCTTATTACTCATGCACTTGCAAGTAATAATGTTTTTATGAGTCTGGAATTGACATTAAGAAAAATAATAGAGAAATAACATTTTGTCTCCCTTGATGCACTGTCATATATAAACAGTCATATCTTATCAGACAAAGAAGAGCCTGAGTATGATGTTGTAGGAGCTGTCAGAAAACTGGAACAATGAGACAAACATTGTTCCAGTGTTTCCTGTGCACAAGAAAGAAGGTGCGGGAGAGAGCGACTCAGACTGCTGTTTCACTGCCTCTCCTGATCAACTCATCTTCCTACTTAATCATGCGAGGAAATGCTAATCTGGAGCTTAAAAGGCCTTTAATTTGCTGTCATTTACCAGCATTAAAATCATCACGAGCTGGATAATCTCAGCCCTCACACACCCTGCGTGTGTTTACACTGCAGAGTTTCATCTGTCCGTGGGGACTCTTGATTTAAAGATTACTCTTGGCTTCAAGATATCAAAGTCAACAGACCGTTCTCCACTAATCCACATTTTGCTCCCCTGAGGAGGTGCGAGCCGGGCCACTCTCTCACTTAGCTGGAGCAATTTTACTTTTAAACACACGCCACACTATACTTATTAATTATTTTTAACTCCACACCATGTGTCAGTTCAGAAGGCTGTTTTTCTATTAGGCAATGTACCACTAAAGCATGCTGATTTTCAGGGTGTCTCACAATCGACCTGCATCCCACTGCTTCCAGGCAGGCGGCAGACTCTGAGCCTTATTTACATATAATAAACGCTACTCAGAAGAAACCACAGGGTGGACAAAATCAATTCACACTAATTAGCAATGATCATGTGTTCACAGTGGAGTGAAATGATTCCACATTAAAAGGTTTGAGTACGCTGAAGCTGAGTTTTAGAGCAAAAACCACAAAGACCACAGAGACTACAAACTAACGGAGATGTGGCAAACGCTACGGGGTCACGACCAGTCTGCAGAGGTCAAAGGTCACTGTGGTAATGTGTGTTGCTCGAGCCCACACTCACCTGACTGAAAAATCTTAGTTGTGTCACGTAGTGCTGCAGAGACCAATGCAAAGTGTCTGTGGAGTGGGTAGCACAAAACCCTTCGTCCAAAAGACACCAGGACCTCCTGGAAGGAGCCGTACGTCTGTAAGGGAGAAAACAGGACAGTCAGATAACTATCCAGCATAAAAGCACATAATGCTTTAGTTCAAGTTGACAAAATTCAATACAGGCAGACAATGGAGAAAATTAATATTCAACAGAGATTTAGATGGAATAAAAACCTGGAGTGACATATACAGTAAGCGAAAATACATTTTATAGTGAACAATCTCAAACAGCACAGATTGTGATAAATGCCTCAACAAATCTCTCCTAAAACATAACTTTGCTCTGCTTCCTTCTATTACAATACAGTTTGTCACAAACAATGTTCAGATGTTGTGCTATGAACTGCTGGAGACTTTGGGTTTCATCTGCTGCATGATTCCAAAGGGGATATTTTAAACTGATATAAGAAATCATATTTTGTGTTCAGTCTAACATCTTTACAAATACTTACATCTCTACAGAAATCTCACAATGACCTTTGTATATAAAGAACAACATTATTCATATAGACTCTGTAGCTGCAGAGATATACTTTATTCATTTTGGGCATGTCATTTGGCAGAGGGGGGTCTGGGCAAACGGTAGGTATTAAGAGATGAGTGACATTTAACAAAAAAACAGGATACCCAGCAAAACTAATTCTGGCCAGTGCGGAATATCAATCATCCATCGTCCAATCCTTTTCCAGCAGATTCAAAGTCATTCCTGCATATTTTATTGGATACTTAGTAAGAATTCAAAATTAAAAAAGGTTATTACATCAGCAACTGGAGATCCACTATCTGTCAACCTCTGGATCAAACTGGCAGTCATGGTTCGGTTCGATAATATTTCACAGCCCAGGAGTTTACCCTCCTTTTTTACTGAGTTTAAAGTCTGGTTCCCATTGGAGTGCATTACAGTGGTGGTGCTCTAATTACTCCGAACAACTCCTCAATTATAGAGCTGGCAAAACAGGGGCTCACAACTCTTAAACACCTCTGCAGCCCTGGCCAATTAATTGCTGCTTCTCTTTAATCACTGCCACTCTCAGATTTTCTCTGCACTAATGGACACACAGCCTGCAGACAGAAACTGAGATTTCTTTATCCCTTGTTTCTTCTTTTCTTTGTGGCTTGTTAGGGATGTGCTGGGAGATAGTGAGTGTGTGTCATCGGGGATCACGCTCTCCCTTGGGCTTGTTTAGTATGAGAGTAAATAAGGTCTGCTGCTGCCGGGTAAGGGGGGGGGGGACTCGCAGTCACACCAGTGCAGTCAACTGAGGACAAGTAAACATACAGCAGATGGAAAAGAGAGGGGGGTGGTAGGTGGTGGGGGGGAGGGAGAATGTTGGGCATAAGCGGGGCAAGAGAGACAGACAGTGGCAGAGTAAGGAAGAGATTGCAGAGAGGGAGAATGGAGAGAGGAAGCAGAGCTGATATCGATGGTGACACACAGACAGACAGGCAGGCAGTCAAAGACAGAGAGGAAGCCATTGTGGAGCAGAAAGTGAAGGATAAGAGAGGAGGAGGAGGCGGGGAGCAGAGGATTGAGCGAGGTGGTGTGTCAATAGGGGCTGACAGCACTGCTGACTGAGGGACGAGCAGTATACAGCTGCCAGGCAGGTGGAGCCTATTCTTTACTCTGCTGTCACCTCAGCAAGACAACTACTAGCTCTCCAATTGGGGTCAAGGTCTACGAAAACAAACCGGTCCAATGATGAAGCAGACTGTTCACAGCTTCACTGGCTTGGTTGTAATTAACAACAAAATGTGTCATAGATGATTTGATTTCCAGTGGTGACCTTGAGTGCACGCCCAGCCCCTAACGAGGACGCTCTGGGACACAGTCAGTCAGTAAATATTTAGAGGTGCCCTGTTGTTGCTGAAAGCATTAAACAACTGGCAACAGCAACCAAATAATAGAATTAAATATGCTGGTCAGTCTGATGACCTGTCCGGGGTGTACATCACCTCTCAGCCAATGTCAGCTGGGACTGGCTCTAGTCCCCCGACCGTCATAGAATAAGCGGTATTGAGAATGAATGAGTGGATGGATGGTTGATGACTGAACAAGATGTGTTGTAGCCTCTGTTAACTGTTCCAATCGTCAGTTAAGATTTCACCAGCGTGTACGCTGCAATGACAAAACATTGCTTCTCAATAAACATGACACCTGGGTGAACACGCTAAATAAAGTTCGTCTTTATTTAGTGATGCTGCACAACGGTGCACTTTGAAATTCCAGGCATTGGCCTGTAAAGACAGAAAGGCAAACTACTGGTCCAGGGAAAAGAGTCAATCACCTGTTTTAGCATTTTAAAAAACGTGGATACCTGCTAATTTTGATGTCAAAGAGGCATTAACTTCTCCTCCAATTGACTAATCCTAAGTGTTTAAGTTAGTTTATGACAGCTCCCCACATACACACAGACATGCAGACACACACAAACTCACACAATTGTGTAATGGCAGTTTGTGAGCAGACACACAGCACCCATCACTTACTCTTTGAATCGGGAACACCTGTTACTGCTATTATACAGGTTACGCGCCAAGTCCAACAACTGACAACTCCCTGCAGGTCACATTACAGGCTCGTGTCAGAGCACAGACCTGAGCTGTTTATTTCAGAGCAGTCTCTAATGTGTCTTCAAACGTTACGGCAACTGTCAACATATTCACACAGAGTGCGAAACACATTCACACACTGACATTCTCTTCAAGAGCCTCTCTAATCACCTCAGAACACATCCAAGCTCGAATACATCAATCACAGCAGCCAGTCAAAGCAAGTGTGTTCAGTGGCAGCTGCTGATTCACAAGTCAAATACTTACAAGAGGATAATAAAAGAGGAGCTGAGCTACTATATCTTACGATATTCTTCGTCAAGTTCACACACAGGAGTTTTAAAGGTTCACACTTCACTGCACTCTGATTTATTACCTAGTTTATCAACATGAAACCTGTATTTCTAGTTGTAGAAAAAAAGTTATTGTTACTGAATATTTTTTTTCTCAAGTATTACTTTGCCAACACAAACCTAAGTCGAAGAATAAAAAGACGGTGAGAATGTCAAAGTGTCAAGAGGAAAGTCTTAAGAGGTAAAAGCTCCAGCAAGACTTATAGTTTAAACTATACTGGAAGTGTTTTCGATGCCTTCAGACTCCAAACATCTTATAGCTGATACTACAAAAGGGCATATTGGAGATATTACACAAGATACTGGAATTCTAGTGTAATTCTAATGAACTGTCTCTGTGACAGCATTCAGACCTGGTATTAACATTTGTTAGTGGTCAGCACCAATCTGGTCTGAACACACTCAAATGCGTCATGAGAGCTGATCACTCAAACCACATTTGGAGCTGGAACGCATGTGACCACATTCTTTTAGCTTTGAATCCAAATGTGTCCAGGGCCACATACAGTGTGACGATGTCTTCTGACCTACTACAGTTCAAAAATCTTTTTACACTTCTCAATGTCCATGCGTTGATTTGTTTGTTGCCACCGCTACAATATGAGCTGACCACCACATTTTTACTGAAGACATTTTTTCAGGTAAAACTCAGTTTGCCATTATTTTAACTGCACCAAGGTTTGGACTCTGTAAAAGTGGAACAAGGGCAGCACTGGTGAAACTAAAGTTTGGTCTGATGCAATGTGTATTTTAAGGCATTCCAAAATATGGGTGGAGGAAATGGAAATTTAAAACGCACACCCTGAGCACCTGATTTATAGCTGCAGACTGACTACTGCTGAAATTCCAACAAAACTTTTCCATCTGGGTAAAGGAGGTTTATAATCTGCAGGAGTGGGAGTATCACCAGGAGAGACAGTGAGAAAGATGCATTGTAAAAGAAGTTTATCGGAACAAAAGGCAGCAATGAACATACTTTCTTTCCACCATACAAACCTTAGTGCATTCATGTGGAGAGCATCAAAACATAATCATCTCATAATTGTTATTTTATTTATTTATATTGTTTGGCGGGGGTCTCAGATTACAATATCCTGATTGCCGCTGGGTATTTTGCACACTAAGTAATTATTATTAGATTTGTAAAAGTTCTTTTTATTGAGCTAATACATATTTCTTTAGACAAAGTCTTGTTCTCATGAGATTCATTGACACATGCCGTTTCAGAAGTATCTCCTCTTGAATCAGTTCACTCTTTCTTTGGCACTCTATTACTCACCGGACAACAGCTCAGATCTTATTTATACAGCTGAGATAAACTGCAGCTGAGTTCGTTTATATCTGAAGTTTCAATCTAAATACTCAGAGAGGACTATCTGCTCTTGATGTAATGTGCGAGAGGCTCAATAAAAATCTCACCAACCCGGAGCTGCAGATGACAACAAACCCGGCACGTACATGAGAGTAAATCATTCACTGCCTCGTGCAATAGCTAACTCACCTCCAGCCAGCAGAGAGTTCCGCTGAGTTTTCTGATTGTCCACGGTGACTCCACCTGCAGGGAAGGAGGTAACCACTCATCTTTATATCAATAACATACAGGAAATAATAGATGGGAAATGCAGCACAATAAATTCAGCTTGAAGAGCAGCTGCTCAGATGACTGTTCAAAACATAAAACAGGCTACAGGTTGAAATAAAAAAGGGACTTGTTCTTGTCTCTCTCCAGATATAATATCCCAAATGGAAATTTAAAAGATCACATTTCGTTTTCACAGCTGGGCTTTAATTCAACAACGTTGTATCAAATATCTCTACAATTTGAATAACACATGCTACGAAGCACCTTTATCAATGAAGTCAGCCTCTCTCACCTACCTAGACAGCTACCTCAGAGGACTGACACAATGAGGTCTGAACTGAGCACTCGGATCTGCTGGTAATCTCTTAAGGCTCTGAATGAAATGGAAGGGGGTGTAAAGGATTTGAGGATAGAGGGCTTTGTCAACCAAGGCTAAGTGCTGCTCATGAGGAGCTGCCTCTTCACACACACACACACACACACACACACACACACACACACACACACACAC